TCACTGAAGATTTTAAGCACCAAGTCCGTGGATGATTGGAGGTATCTGTGTAATGGGGCTAAAGAACCATGAAGGTTGCATAACCCAGTTCCAACAACCAGTGTGGATGTGTTAAAGGGATAATAATTCCCATAGTGGCATGTCCTCATGTCTGGAACTGCAGAGTTCACAGTAAGAGCTGTCTGTGTGTCTGTCTAGGAGTCCTATTTATTGAAATCTGAGTGTTTTACATTGTTCTACGTTTATCCTCATGAAAACTAAATCATTGTCTTGCTTTAGTTTTGAAGATGATTTTATGAGCCAGTCATCTTTAAACTTGTGTGCCTTTTCCCAGGAGACAACCTGGATGCCGTCCATGACGTTACAGTGGCATACCCCAAGAACATTCCTCAGACAGAACGCCACCTCGTACTGGGCCATTTCCCACGTGAGATCCACTTCCACGTCCGCCGCTATCCAGTGTCTTCACTTCCCAGCTCTTCCTCTGAGCTGGAGTCTTGGTGTCGAGAGCGTTGGGCTGAAAAGGAGGTCCGTCTCCGGGACTTTTACTCAAGCCAGCCCCGGGCCTTTGACAGGGACGGTGTTTCTCGTGTGCCACCCTGCAAGTCAGAGCTTCGAGTGGCTCTGATCAAAGCTGCCTCACTGCTGTACTGGAGCAGCTTCATTGCTCTGTGTTTCACTGGCCTGTGGCTCTGGCCTCCTTTCAGGCTCTACTTTTTAGTCCTGGTTGGAGTGTATGTGGCCCAGCAGAAGCTGGTCGGAGGGCTGGAGCTGCTGGAGTTGTCTTGCCATCGATACTGGAAGTCCATGGCTGCAGATGTAGGTGGGAAGAATAAGGTGCTAGATGGGAAGATGCAGTGATAATGAAAGTAATTTTGATTGGGGAAAAAAAGACATGTTTTCACCTATATTTAGCAATGACACTGAAAACCCAGTTGTCTTGACCTGTTTAGTCCAGAGGACTAGAGGGTCCCTTTTAGGAATCCAGTGCTCCATGCCTTAGACAGAGAGAGTCATAAGTGCACCTCCTGATGGTATGCATGGCTTCAGTGGAGAGAGCTTACCTTTCTGTTGATGAAGTAAAAGAGGAATGTTAAGTACATTTATCTGTGTTGGGTTCAAGGAATTCATCACATACGATGTGTCACTTGCCCTTTGTATGTTTCTCCTTGTATAATCACTGTTCTTTAGCTTGCTGTCAGTGCATTTTCTCAACTTTATGTTGTTGGTGTTTATTATGGTCGGTTGTTCAGAACCTCAGTGTGGACATGTGTCATGAAACAATGCTGTTAGTATTTGTTATACTGTTGCCATGTCTTTGAAACTGGTTTTATTGTATGCGATGTTGCTCTCAGTTTTATATCATAAATGGAGCAGAGCCATAGTACAGAGCGCCTGTACGTGTGATGACTTGACTCTAACCAATATTCAAATTAGCACTGATAGCTGAATTAGTCAGATGGGACTATTTAAATCAGTTAGCAGTTATTAACAAGGAAAGAAAAGGACCGCTATAATTCCCAGAGAATTATTAAGGAGTATACAGGTATATATGTGTACCATTGTTTACCTTTATTGGGTATAATTACCCCTTTTTATACAAGTCGTTGAATTATTTTTTTTCCTGTTACTCCTTAGAGATAGCCTTTGTGATGTTTATTACTGTACAGGTCTCTTGTTTGCTAAAGTAGCTTTTGCACATAAAAGCCAAAGGTGAGAAAAGCAGACACGATGTTTAAAAACAAATAGCAACCAAACAGAATGTAGTCTGTCTTGTCAGGAAGCAGTATCTTCACACACTACTGGCAAGGCTGCCTGTAGCTACGCTGAGGCAACACTTGTAGTAATATCAAAGGAAAATCAAAGATCTTATCTCATGTCTGGATATCTGCAGAAGCAGATGAGCTTTGTGCCCATTCTGGGAATGAAGGGATGCCTTGTAGAGGCAGGATGTGGGTGGTGCTGGGGTGGAAGAATGTCCTGTTGGGACAACATTACCCCTCAACGTTGAGGGTGGCACAGAGAACCAGACTTGGAGTGGAAAACTAGCCCTGAACTCAGCCTAATCCAAAAAAGCCCTGTAATGCCCACCTCTGCCTGTGTCCCTCTCTAGAGGACTGGCATTGATGCGCCTGCTAAACTCAATTAGCAAATGACAGCTGAGGAAGCTACTCCAATTGTGCCAAAAAAGGACAGAAATTGAAACAAGATTGGAGCAGTGCTTCAACCGCACTTTTAGCCACTGACTCTCTTTGCCATTGTTCTCAATACCACTTAAAAACACATTAGTTCTTGGAGTAATGGAACAATTGTGTCTTAGTCTATAGCAGTTTCTATAACACTGTGCAATGTGTGATCTAGCTGACCACTTCAACCCAACTTTGTGAAACAAATCTCCCTTTTACAGTCCGTCACACAACAGGAAGTGTCTTTCTTTTTTTTCTCCTTCTTTTCTGTTTATGCGAATCTGAAGCTCCTGTAGTTGAAGTGTAAAGGGGCTGATTCCAATCACTGTGATGCAGCTGCGTTAATGATTTTATCATCAGCATGTAGTAGTTTACCAAACATGGTACTATATATGTTTCTTCAGACTATGTAAGACTCCTGAACCAGCTACAATCTCCACATGTTAGTCTTTCACTTGTGTTGTCTTGTGTTGTTTATTTTACAATTACTTGCTGATGCTGGACCTCTTCAAAGTCACTGTCCTCAGGTAAACACAGTGGACACTGTTACGAGTCAGTCTCTTAAAGAAAGAAATATATATGAATAAATATACTATATCAACTCATTGGTGTCTCTGATTATTGTTGTACTTTCGTAAATATTGACTCCTGACTAGAATACTGATAGTGTGTGCAAGTTTGCTTTATCTTGTGGTAAAAGATTATCAGTTTAAAATGTTACACCCGTTATAGAAACATGGCTGGTACGATAATATCTTTATTAGATTTTGTATGAATTTTGGCTAAGATTTTATTTCCTTTATTCATCACTCCCCTCATAAAGAACACTGTTTCCATTACACTGTCATGCTCCTACACTGACATTTTTATTTTGCTGCAGGCCACCTTGTGTATTGTCTCAGCAGTCCTTTAATCTCGAATGTACTGTAACAATCACTACATTGCAGTGAATGAGTCAACAAGACCTTGAATGCTCATATTACACAACACAGGCCACGGTTTGCCTTGTCTGTTTTGCACACACGCGTCACACACACATTTTAGTCTACCATAGACAACCAAAAAGGTCAAGAGCTTTGAAGGTGAAGTGCAGTCGCCATAGTAACCAATGTTGACTCCCCTGTCTCCTGGCAACGGGATGTAGAGTGATGTCAATGGAAAGCATGCTATTTTCTCCTGGTGACAGAATGATGTCACTCCCTTGTGTTAGTGAAGAGAGTGGTGGAAAGAGAAGTTTATTTCTATATTCTATATCGCCGCTCTCCTGAGGGGATAGAGAGGGAGGGCTGATACGGACATCCTGTCCAATCAGAGAAAGACAAAGGCGAGGATAAACTAAAATAGCTGTCCAAGGGTGATGAATCACGGGCCAATTAGGGGCTGCAATTACACTCCTGTTTCTTTTTGCCCCACCTACCTGCCCACCCTCCTCCTCCCCTCTCTAGTTCATTCTCTGCATCTGAATATAACTTCAGATTTGCTCTGCTGGGTTTGACAGTGGGTGTTAGGAAAAACGGATGATGCACACAGACTCCATCACGCTGTATGAGACACATGAGAGCATCACTTCACTAATGTGTCTTTTTTTCCCAATTAAATTTGTTCCTAAAAGATGGATTCTTAGATGACTGTAGAGGAGCTTGAGGTCAAAGTGTTTGGAAATCTCAGTGTTCCAAATCCTGACCCAACAGCACCATGGAAGTATCTGAACGTTACTGGAAATATTTGTGAACACACACATTCACATAAAGACTATCTCACATCTAAATGTGCTCTGTGTATATCCAATTGCATGCAGACAAATGGGATCAACAAGGCGGTGTAATTATCCTTATCTGGCCAGATGGCTTTTTCAATAAAGACAGCAGACAATCCTGAGGTTACACAGGGACAAAGTCAAAGACTACTGAATTATAAAATAGCACACTGAGTTCCCTGGAGATCGAGCCTCCTTTTTGCCTCTAGTCATGTCCAGCATTTAAATGGCACTAGATGGGGTCATAAAAACATCAGTCTTCTCAATCCATAAATGCCCTAGATCCCTCAGAAAAAAAGCAAGAAAACTATCAACTGCAGTGGGTACAGAAATAGCTGTAACAGGAACAGGTTGTAATGTTCAACAGCCTTAATTAATATTTGTGTGGGCTAAGTTTAGAGCTGAGTGCTGAGTGTAGGGCGCCTCCAGGAGTGATTGCAGGAAAAGCGGACCTGTTGTTGATTCCACCGCGGTGACACAGACACACCAACAAAGAAGCCTTCCAACAGGATCAGAGCTATAAATAACTCCACGGCAGCACTGCAATATTAGTGGGTGGATTAGGAGTGAGTCGTCACTTCCTATTTATACACCAAATGCAGTCAAACCTTTTCATCGTGAGTGATTCATAGTGAGTGCTGACATAGTTAGGATTAAAATACGACACTTCTGATCTGTTGCAATTATTTGCTTTTACTCTTAAATCACGTCTTCTGTTAGGAGTCAATCATATATTGGTCAGTGTTGGGCTTTTACTTAACAGCCAGTAATTCAGTAGGGTTCTTTCATTTTCGCTGCGCCAGGAAGTCACATCACTTGCGTGTATTTGTAGACTGCAGTGAAGCTCTACAGATCTTGCCAAGCAGGTTAACGTCAGAGGCAGGCAGGGGATTCAGCATCACTCAGTATTCTGCTGCCATCTAGAGGTCTGAGGATTTGGTTTTTACTCATGTTTATTTATAGCCTCTCCTCACCATCGCCATCCCTCATCAACACAAACAACACCAAATTTGTACATCCGCGTGTGCTTCTGTCCAAATTGACACTGACACAAGAACTGAACCCAGCAAGAATACATTTTTATTTAGAAATCACGTCAGAGAAAATCTTGCCATAGCAATAGAAGAAAACAATTATTTTCCAATTCTCAGCTCAAGAAAAATATTGAAAAAGATATAGATCAGTCAATAAAATAACAACCATATAATGTAAAGCAAACAAAGACAAATGGCATATCAATAAAATGCTAAAAGTGAACAACAAAACGATAATATTCTATTGTGGCCACTGACTGTCAACTGCACTGACTTTGGGACATAAATGATGTTAATGTCCTGTATATATATTTATCTTTTTTATAGAAATGACAACGTCCACTGTCTTGTACGACCTTGCAAAGGCAAGCAAAACGTTAACAGTGTCAAACTAGTCAAGTGTGAACCATTTTGGTAACGCCAGCAGGCATGCATACTCTGACATGGCACAATGACACACCAGGGCCACGAAGCTGTGCTATAACCCAGTTCAAAATTGACCTCAAATGTCATGAAAATTAGCTCTCTCTCTTGTTTTTTTTTTTCTTTTTCTTTTTACAGTTTGATGATATAAAACAGAGGCTCTGGCCTGGTCTGAGGACAAGAGCTTGAATTTGAAGATAAATACTCCATTAAAGCTTGCACGACTTTGTGTTGTAAGAAACACGTCATCTTATGACCAAATATGCCCAAAGACCAGGATTATAAAAAGAGGGTGGGACACGATCCCAAACGTAGCTCAACACTAGGAGACAGCATCTGCAGTGAACTGTGTTTAAATAAATGTAGCATGGTCAAACACAGGCTTCATTTGAACATATTCTTTAGATTTGAGAGAAAACTGTTTATTGAAGGCCAGTTGCATTTTGTTTTTAGTTGTTCAGAAGCTCGTTTGGCTTGTCCTTGACGACCACTCAGTTACTTTTAAATGTATGACCCATCCTCTCATCATCCTGTCCTTAAGCCAGCAGGCAGCCAGAAAATGTCTCCATTGCGCCTCAGACACATTCTGCCTCAGCCACATTGATGGCTGAAAGCTACATGCTCCTGACAAGTCACCAAAGTGACATGTTGTTCTTCACACAGCGCACACACACAGGCACAGAATCCATGGTAACAGATGTAGATCGGTAGAACTGAATGAAATAGAAAGACTGTTCACTGTGTGGGATATCACTTCTACACTATAAACTCTAGCAATGGGACACTTAAGCCACTATGTGTACATTTCAGTCAAAATAAATACACATCAAGTGAGCCAAATCCAAATCAAACTGCTATCATTGTCAAACACAACAATGAATACTTAAATATGACATCAATCTGTGCGGTATCATTTGGATGAGAACAGAGATTATAAATACTATTACATCCATTCTACTACAAGCTAAGAAAAAGTTAACTTATACAGAATTAACAACTATCATGGTCTTAAATTGCATTATTTGCTAACCAGTGACAAATACACTGAGACAAAGTTCACAGCACAGAAGCACAAATCCACAAAAGCAATATGTAGAGTGACATCTCAGTTGGCTCATTTAACAGTGTCATGTGGAGTGGGCCGATGATCATACTCAGCTCCACTGCCTCCAGTTATCTAGATAAATAAAACGACTAAGCGATATTTTTAAATGTGAGTGACCTGTCTATAATCGTGCATGTGTTTAATTACCATGAAAGTGTGGTGCATGCCTTGTGCAGCGATGATGAGAATTCTGTGTGACCGTGCTTGAACACTTAAGTCAAGTCCCTAACGGTGTTCCCAGCTGTTTGTGGAGACTGCCCTGTGACACATAAATCAAGGACTATTTTTTGGGAGGGGGAGCCTATTCAGCAAGAATAGATCCAGCACACCAATCTTCTAATCAGCAGAGGTCTAAGGTCATTGACCACGGACAGGGAAGGAGTGTGGGGGAGGTGAAGCCAAACCTTCACTGACCACTAAGTCTGCAGGTTGTGTTGTGCAGCGGCAGAGGTGAGGGGGTAAAGGAGAGGGAGAGGAGGGCACGGGAGTGAGCTTTCCCAGACAAGTTAATCCAACATTGGGAGCTCATGAATTGTCTGAGGGAACATGCTCTTCAAAGCCCTCGCTCTCCCTAACCAGAGCCCTCTCCAGGATGACGCGTCCCTCCTTGTACCGCTGACTGTCCTCGGTGGCAAACTCATAGATCCAACCCAGCTTGCTGTTGCAGTTCTTGCAGCTGACGTCCCTCACCATGTGCCTGCCGGTGAGCATCACTCTGTCCTGCACCTCGCTGTACTGCAGGTTCACCACCTGCGGGGTCGAGATATAAGCTTGACACAAGTCGTGAAGCACGAAACAAAAGTACTGAATATATGTAGCCTGTTTTCATTTAGGCGTACATGTCACAGCCGGCATCTTCATGGCTCATTTCACTGTACCTTATTGAAGAGGAATGCTCTTCCTGTGGCTCCTGTGAATCGTGTGGAGATGAGCTCGGACCGATTAGTCAGAATGGTGTCACAGTTGGCACAAGAGAAGAGGCGTGTTCCGCCAATGTGGTCCAAGAAGATACGACCCATCGTCTAATCTCTGGGAGTGACTGAACTCAGGCTAATGCATGAGAGAAAAGAAAGAACAAACGATTTATGGTTGGGAAGTTAAATAACAGCAAGACTTGACTATAAACAGTAAATAAGCAGTAACACCCTATCATAAAATAATCTATCAGTTTCATGAGGCAAATCAAGTTGTGAACTCTAAAAGATTTTGCTGTATTGTTTATAATGCAGCTATTCTTATAACATAACAATAGCCATATAACATATACGGCTATTGTGGGCAATTTTGTCAAGGTTCTCTATCTTTTGGTTCACTGAGAACTGAGAACCTTTGAACTAAAACACACAAGACTTAAAAACAGGCATGTGAAGCACCAACAGGTTGCAGCGAGCAACAAGAAATCCTAAGTCTTCGCTGCTTTTCCAGAGTTCTTATTGATACTTATTTAGTAGCTGGGCCATCAACACATAATGTGTGTTGGTCCTTAATAACCGTAATAACAGGTTACTCTTCAATGTCAATATGAGAGATATTTGGATGTCTGGACATCAGAACCGGTTAATCCTTTTCTGAGTGAAAACGTCTTTGAGATCCTGAAATTAGCACTTCTGAACATTGTATATGTATATAGAGATGTTCAGGCAGGATGTGATAATATGAAAAAAGTACCTTGATTTGTAATTTTTTTTTAATCAGTGGATTAACCAAACAGATCCACTTCTATAATTTTTCAAACTGATCTTTCAAATTATGCACTATTTGACATTCCAGCCACAGGGCTTTATTCATATTACTCAAACCGTACATACCTAAATGAAGCATGTCATAATATTTGGGTTGAGAGGATAAATGTGAAGTCACTTTTGAGACTTTACAGACTTAAATCATGGTGATAACAGTCAAAGGGGGTCCAGGCAGGCTGAACTGTGCAAGATTTTGCTGTGTTTGTCCTCAGGAAATCCTCATTACCACTTTAATATTATTTAAACCAGTGTCTGCTGTTGGAATACATGATGCTTCATTATTTTTATTTGCTGCACAACATAACTTTTCATCTTTAATACACATAAATATCTGCAATCAATTTCTAGTGAACATCAGGAAACCAGAAAAAGTAGAAAAGTATCTAACGACAAATTTGAAAGGAATAAAACTATTGTGAGCTCAACTTGTTATTTTCTGAACTTTATTTGGAGGTTTTCCTGCTACCTCACCGTTGGCACTTGACTCATTTCAACAAGTACTTCATGTTCCTGACTGGCTTGTCGTGAGTAATGTTGACTGTAGATGGCAGCTTTGCTTTGAATGGTGCTCAATCTCAACGGCATTGTGAAGAATATTTCAGCAAACCCTCTTTTAAACATAAAGACGTTAGCCTTACTGACAAAAGACAACACTTTAGCCCCTATTTACGGTGGTTTTGGACAATTCAGCCGAATGGTTTCGTCCACATCTAGCCAGGCTAACGGCAGGCTAACAGCTCAGCTAACAGCAACAACGACAGCAAGCTAGGAACAAGAGGATCACAACAAACCGCGTATTTCGGCTCAACTACAGATGACGGCTTCCTACCTTATTGAATTCGTTTCAGGGCAACAAAACGCCTCGGCCAACGATGGTGTCACCGAGCTTTTGGGTGTGTTTTAGGCGCACATCGGCTGTTTGTGCCGTCGTCGTCGTGGCTTTGTTGTTCTCTTTCAGCTGTTCCTGTCTGCGCTGTGCTCACCGAGCAAGTATCAACATCCGGCTGTGACGCGCTGCGGCGGCCTCCGGGCGCGACCACCAGGGGTCAGCAGAGGGGAGCAGCACGTCCGACACAGCTGAGCACAAACACTTCACACAGCACAGGTGAGTTCACTCCTGTGCGAAGGATTTCAAACTGCATCACCTCTCCGTAACTGCATTGTTTTTGAGCTGATGAACAGAAAAAAAAGAAGAAGTTCAATACAACAAAAGTGAATACACCTGTGATCACTGACACATGAAAACCTGAAATCCTAAATGAATGCATTTGGGATTTCCAATAAGCATAACTGCATGGACATGACTACAACAAAACTTGGGAACATCAGAACTTTCTCAACTTGTAATCTAAAGGCTGTGTTGTTCTGTATGCCTTCATCCTGACTCCACATGGAAAAGAACTGCCAGCAGATTTAATTATAACTGTTTGTGATGGAAAAGGATAAAGGAAGATTGGTGATTAACTAAAAATCAGTAGAAACACAGCAATAATCAGGAGGTACAGAATGAGCCATACAGTTGTCTTCAAATTTATTCATACCCTCCCATCGCTGAAGTACGTTGAAATTGACAAAAGTAATAATAAATAAAAATTTTATGAAAATCATGACATTGCTTTTGAATTGTGGTTCAACAGAAATATTTTTTTACAAAACAACAACAACAACAAACAAGCAAACAAGCATGATGAGACCCGTAAACTAATATTTTGTTGAACAACCCTTTGATGCAATCACTGTAATCAAGTGTTTTCTGTAACTCTCAGTCAGACTTCTGCACCTTTTCACAGGTATGTTGATTTTGGTCCACTGCTCATCAGCAAAGTGCTCTAATTTGTCCAGGACAGTTTTGTTTTTTAAATTCTTCGTTTTAACCACAATTCAAAAGTAATGTCTTATTGCACAAAATTGTAATTTAGCAATTTTTTATTTATTATTGCTTTTTTCAGTTTCTAGTTATCTGAGTGACTATTGTGAATTTTGCCTTTTCTTTAATGGAAGGGTAGGAATACATTTGATTGCAGTGCCACTAATCAGAGCGGCAGTGGACGGCCACCTGAAGAGACACAATGGACGGGACACTACTTGCACAATGCAAGTGCTTCAGACATTGCACAGAGGTTATTAATAGAGTCTGTGTGACAGTTCAGATTGTAAGAACAAGAGTGGACAACATTAACCTCTATGGATGTTGTCCAAGTTTGAACCTTGGCACAAGAGGAATATACCAGGATGACATCAAAGCGTTCACAGCGGTAGTGTCGGCCAAGTTCACCAATTTCCCTTTGCTATCATCTGACCAAAGAAAGTGCTTCCAATATTCATCAGGCTCTTCTGGTGTCCTTTAGCAAGGTTTATTCTTGCAGTTTTGCACTGATTGGCAAACAAGGGTGTAATTCTTCAGTACTGTTTGTCCATAGTGGTGGAAATTTGACACTGTCTGGGCAATCACACTCTGATTTCCATTGATAACCCCTGTGCAATTTCTGAAGCACCGGCCCGTCTGTTTTTTAGAGCTGGATTATGCAAGCAGCACACTATCCCTGGCGCCGTTTGAGGAAGACGGCGAGTGTAGTTCTGATTAGTGGCATTAAGGCTCATTCTATACCTCCCGATTACTGCTGCAACTATGATTTTTTACTTTTTTTTTTTTTTTTTAGCTGTACGCCAATCGTCCTGTTTTATTTTGCATCTTTGAGCAGTCTCACAATCAAAATTGTCCATTCCATGTCCTTTCAATGAGGATCCATGATGCAGACATACAGATCGATACAGCCCATCAGTCCAAGGTTGAGAAAGCTCGAGTGTCCACAGCTGATTTTATAACCATGATCATGCAGTCCAGCTTACTGGAAACCACATGTGTGCTTAATTTGGTTTCAGGGATCACAGGTTTTCTGAATTGTGTATCAGGGATCATCCATCCATCCATTATCTATACACCGCTTAATCCTCACTAGGGTCATGGGGGGCTGGAGTCTATCCCAGCCAACTTAGGGTGAAGGCAGGGGACACCCTGGACAGGTCACCAGTCTATCACAGGGCCACACTTAGAGACAGACAACCAAGCACACTCACATTCACACCTACGGACAATTTAGAATCACCAATTAACCTTTTTGGACTGTGTGGGAGGAAGCCGGAGAACCCGGAGAGAACCCACACTGCACGGGGAGAACATGGAGACTCCACGCAGAAAGATCCCGGTGCCCCCACCGGGACGCAAACCGGCAACCTTCTTGCTGCGAGACAACAGTGCTACCAACTGCGCCATCCTGCACCTATCAGGGATCACAGGTGTGTTTACTTTTGTTGCATTGATCTTTACTTTGGGGCCTTTGGGGTTTTCAATACAGTTTTATTAAGGTGTTTGCTTTCATTGTTTATAAGGGAAAACACTCTGTTTATCAAGTTAGAAATATTGCATTTATTATGTTGCAATTTGGAATCGTTTGACATTGACTTGACATTGCACAGGGGTGCACTCGTCTCTCATGTTGTTTACTGTATGGAGTGTAATCGTTGTCCTGTGGTTGTTTTTCATCTACATGCCCAGAAACAAAAGATACAAATCAGCTGTCTGCTAACGTTAGTGCAATCATTTTAAATTGTCCACTATTCCTATAAAGATAAACAATAAAATAAATACCAATAAAATGAATGATGACTTGATTGCAATCAGGGGATGTTCTGCTATCTGCTGATTTTACAAGTAACACCTTTCCTTTCCACCTACAACAGGTCAAAATATCTGCCAGAAAGACAAGGTACAGGCAGACGTGTATCGACAGACCAAACAAACCCAACGCTGTGATAATAGTTTGAGGACAGTTTCAGCACCAGGGGCTGAAGGAGGAAATGTACAAGGATGTGGAAAGAGATGATGCAGTTGTGTTTCCAGGAGTTGGCTGGAGCGCTTACAGCTCCAAGAGATTCACGGTACACACCAAAGATCTCCAAGTGCAGAATCCACAACCTCCAGGTCCGCGGGTAGGAATCTACAGATGGGTTCCAAACAACATCCAGCAGAACGTCTTCGTGAGATGGTGGTCCACTAAACCAGCCTCAGTGTTCCTTCTGTGAAATACTCATTTAACAATGAACACCATTCTTCCTGAAGATGTTTCCTGATGTGGTGCATTGACAATAATAGGGAATACTGCCTCATTTACAGGTTTTTTTTTCTCTAAGTTATTCTTTTTTTTTTCTTCTTCTATTTGTCACACATCTCCTAATTTTTGTTGCTTGATATAAATCTGATGACTCTACAACGTCGAGCTATCTTGTTGTTTTACTCTGCCGTGATTCCAAGGGTCGGGCTATCTGCAAAGTTCATCTTAGGGCAAACTCGTAAAGTATATAGCAATCTAATCATATCTCTAAACATCTCCAAAAGTGAACCTGTCGTCTTTTACTAAATTGCTGGTTGTTAACATATCATTTTACAACACAAGGACATTACACAAGAGGAAGTTACACCTCATCACCTGTCATCTCTCGTAAGGAGGTATCTTGTGCACTGGCACAACTCTAAACTAAACAACTGCATGTAAAATATAATTTACAATGAAACTGCGTACTATCATATAATCCTTATTGTTCACCTAATTCTGTAAATATTGTAAATAAAGTGTTCCTATCCAGGAAAAGTCTCTATGAAAACTACATTTTTTAAACTGTTGTTGTGGTTTTGTGCCCAAATGAGTTTTATTGTGAATCAGAAATGTAGTCATTTAACTGGAAAATGACTCTGGTTGCTATCACTATGTCCACAAAGCCTTTCCTACACACTGAAATGATGAAGCAGATAGTGATATATGACATTTCTGGCTTACCTTTTCAGAAGAGGATAATTATATGGAGGGGGGAATATAAAACTAATTTTGTTTCCACTCTGAACAGACAGCTTGTTTGCAATATGATGCAATAGACTAACTGAAAACAGAGAACTACCCTTTATTAGGAATAATGTTTAAAGGTTTCACGCTATACTAACATGCCAGGTATTGATATACAGCTCAGTCATAGTTTTTTAAATATTGCTGTCTGGCTTTTTAAAACATAGACCAAAAGATGATACTTGTTTTATTTCTAAGCGATTGTGAGCCTTCGCCATTTAAATATAAAATGTAAAAATATATTAATGATTTATTAAGTATGATGGTGAAGGTCGTAAACATGACTTAATATCTCACTGACCATCATAAAATGTCTGCTGTTTTATAAGACACGAGGCTATACTTTTGATTTACAGGTTAAAATGTAAGTGGCATGCTGACAAACCGCCGTGGAGACAGAGAGGAGGTGATATGGCCTGCTTGATCAGATAAACAGATAGGAGGAGAATATAAAAGTAGAAAATTGGCAGGAATGGGTATTTTTTTTCTCACATGAGATGAAGTCACCTTTCTCGTCCTCTTCTTTTCCTTTCTAAAACTTTGCCCCTTTGGGACTCTGCGTTCTCCACACCCTTCACAGGTACAGTGTGCTTTTACTGTCGGTGAAAGCTCACAGTCATTCTTTCTCTGAGGCTGAAGGAGGAGAAAAGAGGAGGGAATTACACAAACCCCTCAGTGTGGACAGCACTCAGTATCTCACCTCATCATGGCTACATCTGCGCTCCTGCTTCTGGCAGCCCTTGTTGGATCCTACGCTACATTTACAGGTAAATACAGGACAGGCCAAAATTCGTAACTTGTTAGACACTTTTACTGCACTGATTTACTTGCTGCAGTTACGGATTTGCGGCAAGTAAGTCATTCAGAGCAGCCTTGTGATGAGATCAGAGTGATAGTGACTGAATAGGCAGCCAGCTTTTCCAAGGATCTGTTGTGGTCATGTTCATGCTGTTGGTTGATGCGAGTTGTACCTAATCTAGTTGGACATTTTCCCAAGTGAGAGTGAAGATAGATTATACTTTCATCTGCACATTACCTTCTACTTACCACATTACTGTACTTGGCTGTATGACAGAGTTTATACTTTCACCAGCATTATATGGTGTCTTCCTGTTGCTGATGTGCACAGGAATTGAAAAACGTACAGTGTGTATGTTCAAGGACTTTAGGCTACAAATAAAAAGAGTGAATCGTACAGACTGAAGTTTATAGCACAGACTGAGAAGAGTCTGCTGACACAAGCAGTCAGGAAATGTACATTCAGTAAATATTCCATGAATCAGTTGTAACTTACCCAACAACAAATCTTAGATCCTTACATCCACGTTGGGACCAAAGTCTTGGTCCAGATGACAAAAACAGGCCCTTTAGTATTTTTACTATGACTAAGAACGGTTGCATTTCATTGGAAAATGAAACACATAGAAGATGAAAGCATTGTTATTCTTTCATGTTAACTTTTCAAATACAAAATTTATACTGCCGTTTCCACCCATGAGTTAATTTTGCAAGTTACTTTTATTTCACTGTTTTAGAAATAAATTAACTTTTTGCCTTTTGTCACATGTAGACGCTGTTGGAGTTGCTGTGCGAGAAAATGAATTTTCAACAGAAAAATCAGACCAGGTACTGTAAGCTACGACTTGTTGGTGTTTATTACGTAGTACAAATATTGTTATATATATATGTGTATTTTTTAAATCCTATACTCAATATCCTGTTTCTTCGTGCTACAGACAGAAGCTTACATGTCTATACTTTGCTCACCAATACCTGCCTCGTCTCCATCATCCTCAGGTAATGCACTTTGCAATCATAATCAACAAGAATACTAACCTTTTATGAACTTGAAAGCTCAGTTTATATATGTATATATATACACACACACACGTATAATGATGAATCCTTTCATTCTCCTTGGTTATTTGAATGCACACTGTACAACATATTGTTTGTTGGAGTATCACAACATTGCTGACATTTAGTTTTCTTGTTTTCTCAGTCCATGCTCTCAGACCTGCTGATATTGCAGCTGTTCACACCTTGGGAATGCCACTTTCACAAAGGTAGACTGCAAAAATACAGTGCATGATGCCAACTATGAGTAGCAACACATATGCCTTGTTTGCAGACTACATCAAAAGCTAAACCTAATATATTAAACACTAAATATATTCTCTTACAATGTGTCTGTGTTCTTGATTAGGGATGAAGCATCCAGAATTGTCAGCAGACTAACTGGTAAGACCAAACCCTCACTTACAGCAAGTCTCTACAATTACCTAGAACGGTGTTGTTGCTAAGTAACTGTTCTTCTATCCTTGATGTTGCTTTTAGTTTTTTTCTCACTTTTACACGAGTTATTTGTAATGACAGTGTTGTTTCCCTTCATTTGATCACGCTGTTGCATGACAAGACGTTGGAAGTATCGGTACTTTCAGTATGCCTGATTTTTTAGACTTTCTATTTAGTTTTCTAATTACATTTTCAAGCTCGGCCTTTGTGGTCATCGATTTCATTGTAGTTAACCGCCACAATCTGGCTCTGTCACTTATTAACTTTAAGTGTATTTACGCTAAAACAGATACTTTTCATAGCATTAGGGGCTCTTGTGATTATGCATTTGAAAGTATTTGTGGAGAGTTCAGTTCAAGGTCAGAGTCAAGACTGTGTCAGTGGAAAAGCCGGGTTCAGACCACGCTTTGTAGAAAAAGCGTGAGAACAATAAACCCGTAGTTCTGTTGAGGTTATCTGTAAGGATAAGATAATGGGCCATAAATACAGATTGCCGACCTTCATTTCACATAACAGCAAGAAAAACTGGCAACATAAATTGAAGCTTTCACCAGCTGTCCTTTCCGCTTTTATCTCATAATGTGCATAATCCACTGACTGATAGTGTTGTAATGGATTATACATACATGCTTACTAAAGTCTCTACAACTGTGTCTGTGTGGTTTGAATAGAGCTGCTGTCCATGTTTAATCCTGAGGTGATCGCTAAACATGTGGATCAGACCTCACTGCAGCCCAGGTAACACACACACACATCACACACACATGCTCAGTCACCAATGGAAATGCTGCATAATAATACTGCTGCAGGATTCTTAACATAGATGTGTGCATGTGTTCTAGGAGCTTATTGGAGGAAGCTGAGGAACTCTCTCTCTCCCTTTCACCTGAGGTACAATCAACCGTTGCATAACAATTATTATGCATTTCATTATTACTCTGAATGGGCTTACCCACTTAAAATATGGTGATAAATAAATAAGACGTTCAGCTGGAAGCAGAATATCAGATCAAGGATGGTGTGCTGTTCCCTCCTCAGAGGACAGCTCAGGGGGAAATCAAGCAACTTTCACCAAAACTACAAATCACAGTTAACAAAACTCTGTCAAAGCCAACTCCAGCTAAGCCCGGCTAACTGTCTCCTGAGCGTAGCTTCATATTTAATTGGCAGATATGAAGCTAATAGTGATCTTCTGATCTACCGTTTGGCAGGCTTTTTTTTTTTTAACCAAATTTTATGGTAGCAACAAAAAAGTTGCAGAAACATCTGAACAAGAAGATGTGGCATCACTGCAGTATTGTCTCAGTCACTGTCTTAGTGGTTACTTTGGTCAGCTCACAGCCAAACGGTTGCTCCTTATATTGTGGGTTTACTCTGCCAGGTTCAATGAATATGAAGCTCAGTAATTGCTAACTGTTGTATGTCCCTGCAGGTGACAGACTGGAAGTTAGTGCTGCTGGTTGTCCCGACAGATTCAATGTGTGCCTGTTCACCAAATGTAAGTTTCCTTGTTTTTTTTGTATCTACTAAACAAACATGCCTCATGTTGCATCTGATCTTGTATTGGGGTTTCTGAAGAAGTGTTGCTGCTTCTTTGCGCCTCAGGTCGCTGCAGACATGAAAACTGCAGTGCAGGACGTGGAAGCAGCTTTACAGATACTGCAGGAAAGGGTATGGTACTTTCTTAAAGTACAGTTTTGCCATTAACAGATAAAACAGTAAAATGATTAAAACAGTAATAATAATATTCTGGGTGTATGTTTATAGTTGCAGCGCACTTTAGTTCATGTGGTGACCTGGAGCGGATATCATCAGCAAGACAAGTGAGTGTTTGAAGTAAAAATGTTTGTGTAATTGCTTATTATTTTAAACTAATAAACTGGAGTAAACCTTACACAGCGGGCAGCCTGCAGTGTTACAGTTATGTGTGTGCTTTTAATGTTGCAACAGGTGCCAGTGTATGAGAAATAAAAACATAAACCAAGGTCTATATAAAGCAGCTCTTCTGAAATCACTGCAGGTAAAAATACTTCTAAATACACAATATTTATGTGTTTCATTTCACTGCTTTCCTGACAACTGTCCATTCCACTTGCTTTCAGGACTCTCTAAGTCACGTCTTGCACAATCCAAAGTGGCACAGCGACAGTGCAGACTTCACCGTTGTCCTGCAGTCTGAGCCAGTTATCCTTGAACCCAACTCCGACTCCGTAAGTAAAGAAGAGCTCTTCATAGATGTCATTCATAGCTACCATCACCATTACTATCAACTGTTAGTTACACAACCTGCCTTCCAGTAATAGTGCATGAAAGAAATGAGCTAATGTGTAACTTGGATACATCATATGTTTCTTTGAAGGAAAGCCTGTGGTCCGACCTTGACCAATTAGCTAATCAGCTATGGACAAACCTGGTAAGTATTTTTAAACTAGAAGCACGGAAGATAGTTAAAAGAACAATTTGCATATTTTGTTTTACAGAGAAGCATGCTGTAGATCCATCTTTAATTTATCCAGTATTAAATTGTGCAATATGTTACTTAAACTACAACATGCTGTTAAATGCAACGACACTAAATCGATTTTTTAAAAAAAAATCTGTGATGAGACAATAAAGCATGTCACATTATTTCCTGTCATTTATGTTCTTCTGACACGGCCCATGTGTTGTAAAATGAGCCAGGAAAGAGTCACTAAAAGCAAAAGATGGAACAATGATTACAGCGAACGTCTGTGTATCTGACCAGACGTTAGATAAAAGATGTAAAGATTAACCATGTGAGACGATCTCCAGGATCATTTTCCCTGGCGCTGTTCACACTGCATGCACATATAAAGAGAAGAATTGTGTAATCAATATGGGTAGACGCTGTGTGGTTATTGGCTGTGCAGAATGACACCACCTGACCCAAAAATCTTAACCAATCACAACTGTCTCTGCTCACTTCCTGCTCCAGCTTCAGCCATCGGCAGGCCCAGCCAAGGTCACGGACGGCAGCGCCTTTTCTATTCCTTGTCCTACTCAAGTAAGACATGCCGTCGCTGTCTGTTCAAAAGTTGCCCACAAACTGATCTAATTGTGCTGCTCTCCAACTCACAGAACACCTTTGTTTAATACTAACATGATCAATCCTTATCCCAGGAGCGACCTTTCCTGCGAACACAAATAAATTCCCCTGCTGAAAAAGAGGAGTTTTATAGAGCGGCCTCTGCGCCAGATGATCTCGTAAGATTCTTTCTTTGACAATTTCTAAAGCAGAATAACAGACTATTTAATCCAATTTAGTGAAGAATACTGTCTGTTTTTAGACTATGGGTACTGAGATACATTGCACAGACCGCAGTCCATCTCCTACTACACCCACTTCAGGTAAATATATACAGATACATATTTTTGAAGCTCTGCTAGCAAATGTTGGGAAATATTGTTCAACTCAATCATGCTCAATCCCCTTGTTCTTTCTCCTGTGTAGTTCATCAGCTCAGACCTGCAGATATCAAGGTGGTGGCAGCAGTCGGGGATTCTCTCACAGTAAGTGTTTCACTTTTCCTCATTTGCTTGCTCTGATTTGTTAGGTCCATATTTAAAACTACTTTTGCACTTAAGATGTCCAGTATTTAGGAGAACAGGACAACACATGTACAGACGTGGAGCTATTGTGTTTGTATTGTTTGGATATGTGTGAACAATTAGAGTTATGATAGATATAAGATTTGAAAGAGCTATAATACTCTCAAATGATTTGTGGCTATTTGCATCTGACTTTGTTGCACCAGAAATTTCAGTAAAGCTTTAATTAATGTTCGCTCTAGTTAAACTGTTTCTGGTCTTGCTGTGTCACATCTGATGTGTTTTGCAGGCAGCCAATGGTGTGGGTGCAAAGGTGGACAACCTTCTGTTAGTGATGAATCAGTACAGAGGGCTGTCATGGAGGTACAGCAAGTCACAGGATGCATTTGCAAGTTTTGATAACTTGTGAAAATACAAAAGAGTTCATTTGGTATGTTTCTGAGCTGCATTTAAAACTAACTAAAGCGTATTTCTGCACTTTTCAGCATCGGCGGTGATGAAAACATAACCACTGTGACCACGTTGCCAAGTATGTTTGCCACCTTCTTTTTTTTTTTTTGAAATTGCATAACATACAACGGCTGGGTTAAGGTGTATTTTATTAAATAACAGACGCCCATCATTTGCCAATTGAAGCACTGATAGCATCTAAATGACAGTTTCTTATCACTGCCAGACCTCATGTAGTCCATCGTACCCGCCTTTGATGTGAATCAACCTAATGTTTTTGGTTGCTAATGCAAAACCATCAAAACATATTACAAATGTAAGATAAAATTCACAAAGGTGTTCACACAGCACAACGGGACATTTCCTACATTCACTTGCTTTTTCCAAAGCTTTCAACCAACAAAAAACAAAAAAGCAAATGGACTTAATTGTTTGCTTTTGTACACTTAGAAATAAAAAAAAAATGTAAAGGACCATATCTGCCACAAACTGTACCAATCAATTTTTCTGATCTTTCCAATGATCCTTTGCAGACATCCTGAAGGAGTTTAACCCCTCAGTCACTGGATTTTCGACGGGAGTCTGTTCACAAAGTGATGCTGCATCCTTCTTCAATCAAGCTGTGCCAGGAGCAAAGAGTGGGTCAGTCACATGTTTTACTTGTTTTTTATTCTGACTTTTGAGGCTAAGCAAATAAAGTCATAGCACAGCCTTTGGCACATGATAACAAAGAATTTGCACTTGTTTTTTTCCCAGTGATGTGGTACAACAGGTGCGCGTATTGGTGGACATGATGAAAAAGGATTCGGTAAGGCAGCGAGTACAAACGCATTAAGACATGATCTCATGTGAAACGTGTCTCCATTTTATGTCCACGCTTAGCAAATTAACAACACAAGGTGTACCTCTTATCTCCTTTAGCGCATTGATTTCCACAACGACTGGAAAGTGATCACCTTGTTTATTGGTGGCAATGACTTATGTGACTTCTGCACAGACAGCGTGAGTGCTCGTTTTTTATTTTTTTTACAGATTTTGTCATGTTTTCTACTTACTTTTGAATTACGCTTTGATAATTTTCACACAACAGTTGTGTGAATGTGTATTTGTGTGAATTTCACTCTGTTGACATTCAGTTTATGGTTTTTTTTTTTGCTTTATAATTTCTTCTGAACACATTGATAATCACAAATATCATCATCTATTTCTTTTATGGCAACTAATAATAGTCAACATGATCATCACAGTTTTCAAAAACTGACAAAACTGCTTGTTTAGTTCAACCAACAGTTCGGAATACAAGCCTCAGGAACCCAATAAAATCCAACATTTGTTTATAAAAATGACTTGCCAACTCAATCAATAAGTGAACGAGTGGGAATATGTTTCTCCACAGGTGTTTTTGTCTGCCAGGAATGTGGCCGTTCGTATTCAACAAGCTCTTGACATACTCCACGAGGAGGTATGTTTTCATCTTCTTACGCCACACTCACACAAACATACAACCTCACTGTATGTTTGCAATGTCAAAACAATAATCCACATTTCAGAGGGCCGATACCTGTTTGTGTCTTCTAGGTGCCTCGTGCCATTGTCAACCTGGTCGAGCTGTTAAACATTGTACCGCTGCGTGACGTGCACAACGATAAAACTCTGGGCTGCCCCACCTGGTTTGTGAGGTCAGTGATTTCTCTGGTCATTTAAAACAGTTTGACCAAAACACTTTCCACACGTCATTGTTTGATGTTTTTGATGTTTGTATTTCAGTTTGATTTGCCCTTGCGTATTGAAGCCTAAGGCGGGATCGGTTGAATTCCAGCAGCTCGAGGACTTCAGCAGAGCCTATCAGGTGCAAAAACTTTTCTTTTTGTTTTCTTACGTGCACTGCAAATTTTTAAAAAAGTACAATAATGAATGAAAAATACTTTATTCATCCCAGAAGGGAAATGTGCAATATGCACCATGACAGACACAAAAAGCTGGCAAAGAGAAAATCAACAAAATCTTCACATCTTTTAGGATAAAGAGAGTGAATCTGCTATTGTTCCACCATCACGTCAAAAGAATTGTCACTGTAAAGTCAAACACTTCTTTCCACTGTTTTGATCTTTATCTTGTGGCTGTTTTTTTTTTTCCTCCAGCTTGCTATGAGACAGCTGGTTGACTCTGGGAGATATGACACACATGACAACTTCACTGTAGTGTTGCAGCCCTTCTTAAGAGAAGTTGTCCTCCCTGTGTCAGAGGTAAAACAAACAAACAGGCAGAGCTGAAACATAAGTGTTTTCATTTAGCTGTTTGTTTCTATTTTTGATTTCTTCCACTTGTGTTTTTTAAGGACGGACGGCCTGATCGCTCTTATTTTACACCTGACTGTTTTCATCTCAGCCAGAAAGCTCACTCTCTCATGGCTCTTGCTCTTTGGAACAACATGGTAGGATTTGATTAGGACCTTTTCCATGTTTGTAATTTTGCCGTTTTCTCTTAAAATGGTTCAAAAATAAATCTCAGATTTTCACAATCTCTTAGCTGGAGCCAGTCGGCAACAAGACTTTTGAACAAGACTTCACAGCTGGCATCGATCTGAAATGTCCTTCTGAGGTAGCACATCATCAGGCACTTTCATTTATACATTGCTGCTAATATCGCTTTTGTGTACCAGTGTTTTTTATTATTTTTATTTATTATTTCTTTACTAGACCAACCAGTTCTTCAGGACTGCCCTCAATAGTGGCTACACTTATCCAGGTCCTCCACCCACTCCTGCTGCAGTTACAGTAGGTTATACTTTCTGTCTTTCAGACACAACGTAACGTTAGACAGACAAGTGTTTATTATTTATGTATGATGCCAAGAAGCAGATTACAATTAGAAATGTCTAAGATATATCTCTGCCATTCTGTAGAACTGGGGCAGAGACTTCTCCTGTGTGAACACAGCTCCATCCGACTCCGTGCCCACTTCAGGTAAACATCCAGACGATACTCAGTTAAGTGAAATTCAAAATGTTAAATGTAAAATATATTCATGTTGCCCTTTCATTAGCTCACAGGGTTCGGCCAGCAGACATCAAGGTGGTGGGTGCTGTAGGAGACTCTTTAACGGTAAGTTTGTGCACAAGAATGTGACCAAAGATTTGACTTAGCAGAACAAATCCTGTAAATGTTTTGCTAAATATAGATTATTGCCCACTTCCTTAGTTTTCCCCAGAGCTTTTGGCTGCTCTCACGTTCTTCCTCATTTGATATTTTCACAGTTATTTGTCCTTCCTTCATATGTTTTAATATCTTTCCCTTTTTTTCTTCCACCTTTGGAAAATAAATCAAATTTGCTCGCTTGCTTGTCGACTAAATTAGATAAAATGTAACATCATCCCATTAATTCTTGACCTAATCCTAAATATTTCATTAATATCATCACAAGTGATATGATAATATTGACAAACCACAACACTCTTATGTTTTCTTGTCTTCTGGATCATTTTCTACCTTCATACAAAATTCTCGCTGTCATATTTTACATCTATGGGATGTGCACCAGTTAATGCATCAGGCGTTACTAGTAATGGTGCCACAGGTGGATCAATGCTGTTACCCAATTCTGTTTCCCTATAGGAACCTATAAATCAGCTAATGCATAAGGCGAGAGAGCAATATCAATTTAATGAGCCTGGGGGTGAAAGAGAAAAATGTTCCTGGAAAGGATTCAATAGTATAACCAGCTTTTTTCTGCTTGTAGGCCGCGTTTGGTGCCAAGGCCAAAAGTCTGATGGAGCTAAGAACTGAGTACAGAGGAGTGTCATGGAGGTGAGAGGCTGCGCACAAACTATGTAAACACATTCATGTATGCTGCTTTGTGAACCTTTGCTTTACTGCTTGTCTGTTTTTCATTAACAAGCATCGGTGGGGATGAAACCCTCGAGACCGTCACAACATTACCCAGTGAGTCTTTTACGTTGAGGCGTAATGCACATTAGCACCACATGATGGCAGATTTGGTCTGATTCAAAGCTAGAGTTCAGTCTTTTATGCAGTAAAATCCCTTACTTGTTTTGTTCTTTTACATCAGATATCCTTAAGAAGTTCAATCCTGCGATCAAAGGAATGTCAAAGGGAGAAGGGAAAGCCCAGACCGGCTTCAACATGGCTGTATCGGGTGCTAAAATAGCGTAAGTTCAAACTTGTAGACTGTTGCTCATCAGGTTTTGTGTTATTTTGTGAGCATTTTGTGCACTCATGAAATTTTATTACATCGTCATGTACAGAGGAATCCCAGGGCAGATTCGACGCATGATCGATGCCATGAAAGCTGACTCTGTGAGTTTAATATTCATTACCAGGCGATTTTTAATACATCACTGATTCAATATTTTATAGTCATGTCCAAGAAAAAGAACGTCATTTAATCCTTGCCTCATCCCTCTGTCTCTCTGCATCTTTCACCGTGTGTTTAATGGGAATAGACGGTGGATTTTCAGAACGACTGGAAGCTTGTGACCCTCTTCATTGGAGGCAATGACCTGTGTCAGTACTGCAACGACCGGGTGAGCTGCTTAAAGAAGTCGTCACAGGAAGCGCAGGGTGATCCAATGGATGAAGGACATTTTTAAAGCACCCCCCCACCCCCGAAGAAAGAGAACCTCCCGCTGTAGTGGAGTGGCTAAACATCCCCTTACTGTTGTGCGATGCCCCGTGTAGAGCTGTCTCATGATATCACTCCCCAAATGGAACTAAGCACTGGAGCAGAATAATCAAGCTTTGTGAGCAGCCCTCCCCTAATTGTTTTATTGTGTCAGAGTGAGATGAGAGCAGACGTGGTTTCTTTTCAATGAGCACATTCTGTCACTTTGCCCCTCCGACACAGATCGACCCTCAGCCCTCCCTCCTCCATCTTAGCCTCTGTCTGCATTAAACAAGCTCACGAGGCACAGTGACGGGCCTTGTTCTGTAAGAGGCATAAACAACACAGAAGTCAACTCAGACTCTCTTCATCCTGTCTCTGTCTCGCTCCCTCCTTCTCGCTCTCTCTGTTTTTCTTTCTCATTTTGCCTTTTTTTTTTAAACTTCTCTCTCCAGTACTCTCCTCATGCTCCACTGCCAGGGTAGTCTCTCTTTTAATGTTTGTGCTTTGAAGCAGAATATGAAAGCGCAGCATCAATTTAAGATGAGCTCTGAGACTGTGGTAGTGACAGCTTAGGGTTAGTTGTTGCTTAGTGTGCTCTTACATGTTGTATGGTTCTTTTTTGGTTGATACGGAGTCAAACTTGGCGAGTTTCCCTCAAATGTGCCTTAATTATGCCGCTTTTCTTTGTACATGTGTTCACTCACTATGAATTAATTAATCAATATCCTTTTGCATTTTCTCAAAACAACAGGCCGCTTACTCACCTAAGAACTACTCCCAGCACATGATGACAAGCCTGGATATGTTGTACAAAGAGGTGGGATGAAATAGCTGATGATGAAATTATATTATAAGTGAAAACAGTTTCAAGAGGTCCTTCAACTTTCCTTATCGATCCTTTTATTATCCCTAATAGGATCAATTCTGATTTTAAATCTGAAAAAAAAACAAACATGTTTTCTTACTTTCTGACTGTAGGTTCCCAGAGCAATTGTCAATGTGTTGGAAATCCTGGAAATTGAAGGCCTTCGCAGAATTAAAAGGGACAGTCTCGGGTGCAACGTGGTACAACCGTAAGTTCACTCATCCACTCATGCTAAACCAGTTCTTCATTAAATCAAGACCACCGAATCAAAGTCAGAAGCGCTTCTCTTTATTATTATCAAATACCTGCTCAAAGAAAAAGATAATTTTGTGTTTTAAAAAGGACTACCTAATGATTCAATCAATAATAAATCTGTATTTTTTTCAATATGCAATATGTTATGTTGTAAGCAGTGAGGATTAAACATTTATAAAAGCATTTTAATTTTCATTCATGTTATTCTTTATCCATAGGTTTGTCTGTACATGCTTCCTTACACCATCAGAGGATTCACCAGAACTGGCTGAAGTCAAACAGATTAATCGGGAGCTACAGGTTAGCAGACAGGAACAGTGAGACCCAGATATGTGCTTCCTAAAATGTGTGGATGAAACTGGGTCATTGCATTAGATGCGATAACATCAGCATTTGTTTCCGTCAGGTCAGGACTGAAAGACTGGTGTACAGCGGCCGCTATGATGGCAGAGAGGACTTTGCTGTGGTTTCCCAGCCTTTTTTCAGAAGTACCATCGTTCCTGTGACCCTTGTAAGGCCCCACTTCCACATAAATAAACATTTACCTTGAGGACAGTATGAAATCCTTCTCTTCGGAGCACATTGTACTCACAAACAACGATGTTTTACTCCTGCAGGATGGCAAACCTGACGACAGCTACTTCTCTCAGGACTGTTTCCACTTCAGTGAACGGGGACATGCTGACATGGCTGCAAATCTGTGGAATAACATGGTGAGAGTTTGGCAACGCAAACCGTAAAGGGCTAACCGTGTTTGACAGAAGCAGGGTTTTAGATTAAGCCTTTTTAAATGATCGCATCTTCCTGCAATTTGCTCATGAAATAGGCAATGATGTATTTCTGTTCTGTCTGTAGCTGGAACCAGTGGGTGAAAAACAGGCATACAACACTTTCACAAATGACAGGAACGACATCAAGTGCCCAACTGAGGTAAGCAAGCTGCCGCCCGAGCACTTCTCACAGGCTACAGCTGACCTAGTTGTGTACATCTTAGTTTGCGGGAGTGAATTTGACACAGTCTTCTTATTTGTGTGTTCCAGGAGCATCCTTACATCTTCACAAGGGTGAACAGCTTGACCGCAACACCCAAACCCACCTCCACCACGAAGCCCTCGATGACCACAACACCCAAACCCACCACCACGAGGCCCTCGCTGACCACAGCACCTCTCCCCCCAGATTGCTCGGACACTGTGGCAGCATGGCTCGCTGCTGTGCTGGCTGTTGTTGGTTTTGTGATTGGCTGCGGCGTCACCTGGCTCCTCCTCTCCTGCAGAGCCAAAAGACAGAGTAGGAATATGAAGATGGCTACGGTGGAGATGAAGGGCACAGGGTTTTAAAGTGCTACTTATCATATTTTTGTATGGGACTATTCAAGGGAAAAAGGAGGAACTACAAAACAGCCTTCAAAACATTTAAAATGACTGGTTAAGAATGTTGCTGGTGAGAATAATAAGGCAGTTTTTCATAATGCAACATGATGAATGCATATATTAGCTCAGTCTACTATGACTACAAGAGTTTTTTGTTTTTTGGTTGATCCTTGAACCTCAAAAAGCTGGATGCAAAGCTGGAAAACATACACCAGCCTGTACTTTAAAAAAAAACAAAACAATAATTAAGACAATTGAATATGATTCTGCTATAAGTTCTACATTAAAACCACACACAGATGCAAATATTTATAGTGAGGTGTGTTGCATTAACTGGTAAGACATATTTAAGTGTTGTAGCTGGTCTAACAACTGATTTAATAAACCAATGAATTCACTAACTACTACAGGTGAATGGTTTTCAAGTGCAAACATATAGATTACACTCATTCACTGTGCATTAAGTTATTACTGCTTTGTATATTGAATTTGAAATAAAATGAAAATGTGTTTAAATGCATTGACATGCTCTTGACCAACATTATGAGATAAATGTGAAGTAAATGCAGTATACCTGCCTCATAACTGAATTAAGTTAGTATTTCTGGGTCTAAAAATTGTACATTTGTGGTATTGGGAAAGACAATGTAATTTTTCTTTTGTTTATGTCTGTTTAAATAAAACACTGTTGCCTCTGACTGGAATAAAAATTCTTTGGGAGGAGGAGAAGGTACATTTGAAATAACCCATTTGCAATAATTCATACAGAAGGATAACTAGTGCTCGGTCCAGACCTGACGTAGTATGGCCGTCGTCTGATACAAGATACGCAGGGATGTTTGTGACCTCATTACAGGGATGAAAGCAACCACAGCTTCTGTTAATTATGTCACAAACTTAAAGTGACAAAAAGCACATTTACTCAAAAGCTGAAGTACAATTTTGACCTGTTTGCATTCTGCTATTTTATAATTTTTCTTCTCCACACATCAGGTTTAAATATTATACCGAACACCTCCTAATTTTTTCTTGGCAGCTCACACTGTAGATTTACTGTGTAACACTTGATGCACTCATTTTATACACCCACATACACACCAGTCATTATAATACAATAATAAAACAGTGTACTGTGCTCTCCACGCTTTACATTTTCAGATAAAACTTTCATTCTTTTGCTCAAATAAGAAATTATAATGTATACATTTACATGGAAATTGGTGTTTTTACATGACCAAAATAACTATTGTTATTCTCTCACCACTGCAAACACAACAATTTCAACATACTAGTGTATGTTGAATGCAATTTAGGATCAAATATATGTTTCAGAATCAGAATCAGTTTTATAGCTCAGTGGATTTTCATTTGTGAAAAACTTGACTTAGTGCATAACAAGAAACACCAACATGTAAACTTGATAAAAGCAACTCAGTAGACAGGAAGTGCTGCAAGACAAATAAGCAGCAAGAGGAGCAAGTGCAAGAAAATGTTATAATATAAATAATAAACACTTTCCAATCTCAAACAAGCTCTTTTAATTATAATAAAGGTGGTTAAATTGAATTAAACTGGGGGATATTCCCTGGTTGAAATATTTGGCTTCTTAGCAACGGCGCCCCCTGGTGTCCGCGGGGAGAATCGAAGCGGCCAGCATTGTACTACATCAGTGTGAAGATGGCGGAGGGTGAATTGAACGTGGATAGCCTCATCTCTCGGCTGCTGGAAGGTGATTTGTTTTACTACAGCCTTTGATATTGAACAGAGGTAGACGCTCGGGTTCTTTAATCTGACTCTAGGGGTTCTTTCGTAGCTATTCGCGGTCGTGGGGAAGTGTAAGCTAGCGGGGCTAATGTCAGTGAGTCGTAACGGTGTATGCCCGGCTAGCTCCGGCTAACGTTACCGTTAGCTGGCCGTGTTTATAAACAGTGTACGCAGTGAACGCCTACATGTCGCCCATTTGCGCAGTAATATCTACGTTTCTGTCGGCGACTGATACATAGCGTCGTGGTTATTACTTTAGCTTGCAATTAAACTTTCTTTCGGGGTGTTTTTGCGGCATTCTGGTTCATTTATTTGCTCAATTATACACGGCTGGTGTCGAGAAGGAGGGGCAGGGAACGGTTTTCTTTTGAATCATTTTTAACGGTTGCAAGTTAAAAACGTTTTAACAGAAAATACAGAAACGATCAGGTGCGTCCTTTGCCTTGATTTAACACGGTTGCATTTTGCTGTACGACCGCGGTGCTGGCAGTTGTGGTCGTGATATAGTTACTGCTCAGTTTCCACTGGTGACCTGGTTAATGTCACCTTCTTAGGAGGGGAATCTTTTGACAGAGAATCCAGCTGTGGAGATAAATGTCAAACATAAAAAATATACAGCTATCCCTCTCATCTGATATTAAATGTCCTCACCAGTAGATCCTCCAGTGCTAAATTGTGAGATTTTTTTGATTAATTTTGCCTTTTTCTGGGTCACTTGGTTCGTAGGTGAGACTTGTACAGGGCAGGTTGTTTTGATTCGTGCTCACACTTTCCCTTTAAATGTCTATGTGTTGATACAGGCAGCAGAGAAAACACAAATATAAGACATCACATTTAGAAAAGAAGGCCAGAGCAATATGTTTCTTGGGTCAGTCCACATAAATGTTCATATCAAAGTTATTATTACTTCTGTACTTTGGGAATTTGTTGTGTGTGAGGGCCATGTTTTGGACTAGGAAAAGAGAACTGTGTGCTAAAGTCCTTCTGTGTTGGCCGTCCACCTACTGCAGAGGAGACGGGGAGTTTTTCTGCTCCCCTGTGAGATATCCTTTGAGTGAGACCAGACCACTACGGCAATTCAGCTGTCCTTGGCATACTTTTCCATCAGTGTGTGCGCGTCTGTTGGAGAGATGAGACAAGATGTTATGCTAGATTTTGTTATGTATAATTATTGCTGGTCAAACTGACAATCTAAAAGAAAAAAACTCTACAGTTGGTACACAGCTTGCAATAAACATTTTTCTTTAAAAAACAAAAACAACCAGTTTGCATCTTCACTATCATTGTCTTCATGTAGTTGGTATTCAACAGCTAGGGACTGACTGTGACTGTGGCTACTCGTTCTTCTCAGCTGGAGATCTTGGATCTTGGGTTTCTTGGCACCAGCTCACAGGGTGACTTGTTGATTATGTTGCTCAATTTTTATTTATTTTTTTTATCACAAGTTGGCTTTGGCATCTTTCATAAGTTTTCACTTTTGTTATGATCTCAGTGGTGTATAAAAGACAATGGAGATTGTTTTCTGTTTTAATGCTGATAAAGCAAATGACTAATTTGGACTTTATCATCCCTTAGTGCCTGTTACATAAGTGTTCAGCTTTGTAGTTCGTGGTGTGGGTTTGATACAGAGTCATAATTGAGTATTGTAAATGGCAGCTATTACACACAAGACACACCCCTTGATATCAACAGGAAAACTGATAATTGCCCCTTGTGATGCTGCCACCAGTGCAAAACAGTTTTATGAAGAAAAGGAGTGCAAGAAAATTTTGTCTTGAACCTGCTCTAAAAACAGTTTAAACCCCGTGTATATATACGTGTAGACGTTTTTGCTGATGTTTCCTGATGTTCAGCACAGATGTACAGAATTACATCAAGAGAGTAAAAATCGTTTAGTGCCTAGTTTCCAAACGAGACACTGTGAAAGGCCTTCAGCCTTTATTCTGCATCACACAATAGCTTACTGTATGTTTTGCTGTCTGAGAAAATTCCATCTTGAAGGAAAGCCAAGTGTCAGCGAGAGTATTTACTCATTACAATTAAAACTTAGGGGACACAGTGTTCCTTTATCCAGGCGTGTGTACAGTCACAGAGTTTCAGACGCACACAAACAGTGATTTGGTTTATGATGGTTGCAAATACTTGTCATTGCTTCATTTCAGCCTTTGCCCCTCAATGTTCTTAAGAACGTAATCTCTTTTAAAAGTGCCAGCCCGCAGAGTGCAAGTGTGAACAGTGAAGGGTTCAGTGTTAAAGCTGAGCAGGCTAAGCATCCAAGCTTAACTCACTCTGCTCTGATGAGGCCTGGCTGCTGAGTAAAGAGTCCTACTTCTGCAATTTCATGCTTCACGCCATGCACGGCACATGGGCACGAGGCAGTGCAGTTACAGTAGATGGAGGATAAGGAAAATTGATGGTTTAAAGTACCATAATTAAAATTGGTGGAGCCCTCAAATAGTTTTTGGCACTCAAGATTTGCCATCTGTGAGGATCCATATTCCTCTAGTTCTGTTACTTTTTTCCAACTTTGTTGGATTGCATGATTCATGAAACAGTGACAGTAAAGAAGTTTGAATATATTGTGTAAGTAGCGTTTGCCTGCTTCTGTATGTTTATATATGCGCAATAACACATGCACAAAGCTTTGGACGATCATCATCAATACATTATTTAATCCATTTTTGCTCCCTGTTTGCCTCCTGCAAAATTTGTCATCCTTTCTCAAGGTTCAGCTGCACAGTATTGGACTCTTTAGTGGGTGTCTAGCTTTAAGGCAATAACAACATGGTTAGTTATTACATAACGCCTCGGTTCTGGATTTGTTCAGCGCTTTTCTTTCCATCCTGAGTAGTTCATTTTGATACAGTGCGTTGATTTGCTTTTTGTGACTTGAACCTAGGATTCAGTTTAAAAGCATGATGTAAATGTATTCCATTTACCATTGACTATTTGTGTAAATGACGTGACAAAGTGCAGAAGATCAATTTCTATTAGTATCATAGGACTGGTCTTTAGCCTGTTCATTCATTTATATTTATTTTTGTGTACACTGACCTTACCAACTGTAGAACTGTGACTGATCGTGTGTTCTTTTGAGGCCATCTTTACGAGACACTGCATTAACTAAGCTGTACAAGCCAGAAATAAAATACAGATATCAAGAATATAAGACACCAACTTTTTCTAAGACTAAATTAAACTTTATATTTATATTCTGGCCTCCAGTTAACATGACAAGGAAGCAACTTTTTTTATGTATAATCTCACTTTTCAAATCTTGACGATTTCAGCTGCTGACCGTAGCCGGCGTTTGCAGTTCTCACTCCTGTTTTCATCATTTTGATAAATCTGCTCTCAGAGCTGTGGCAGAATGCCAGAAAGTAGGCTTAAGCTAACAGTGCAACTACACAGCCAATAAACCCACACCACTGCTGAAGATGCAAGCTGCTCTCATAGTGTAAGCAGTGGGTTTCTAAAGTATGGCTGAGACTAAGAAGCTATAAGCTACAGAGTCATTACGCCCACAGTTCATCAGCTTTTACGATAGCTATGTGGTTCTGCTATAAGTGTTTTTTCCCTTAGGTTAAAAATTATTCTCTCATGGCCTTGTACTGATGAACTTTGTGGTGTTTGGGGTTGCCAGTGTTTCTTTATTAACACTGATAACAACTGTTGATCGTTGTTTTTTTCTCCTCTTCAGTGCGGGGATGTCGTCCGGGGAAGATAGTCCAGATGACCGAGGCAGAGGTGCGGGGCCTCTGCATCAAATCCAGGGAGATCTTCCTCAGCCAGCCCATCTTGCTGGAGCTTGAGGCCCCCCTGAAGATCTGTGGTCAGTGTTTCCCCATTTCTGCTCTCGTTTAAGTTTATTTTCTCACCATCTCATGCTTGTGTTTGCTTGTTTGCTCGCGACTTAGTATTGCCTCCC